CAATATGTAGCCCTGCACTAGTGTAACTTACTAGAATCTGGCATTGATTTACCCTGGAAATAGCATACGGATAAAACTATATTGCAAATTTTACCTTTGTAGGTGTTATGTGTTATCTTGCTTCTATCCCAAGATAGCTCTTTGGCTAATGAAAACAGGCTATTACTGCCTTTCCTGCAGCATAGTGGAAATGTGCTATAGTTATGCTGACTGCTTTCCTGGAACAGCTGGTCATCTCTCTGCATTGTACATTTATATAAGTTACACCACTCTTAATGTGTGATGTATCCATGCTTTCTGTAAGTTTTGTGGATAATGCAGAATGTGCAGGATGTGTTTTATTTCAAGTGCTCTGCTCAAAAATGGTTGTGGAGGGTCTGGATTTTTCTGACACAGCTTTCTCACTACAAGAACATCCCGGCTTTCAGGAGAATAGTAACTCCCAGATACTGAGAGGCATTTTGTACTTGCATCTGTATATCTGGCTGATCTGTGTCCTGTCTGGGTCAGACCAGTTAAGCAGCCTTACGGGATATTTGCGCACCCCAAAAGATCATGTAAACTTTACAATGGGAGCACATCATCTTACGAAACTAACTGGTTTTGTTAAATGCTAATTCTGCTTCAGTATCTAGACTGGTAAAATGGCACCCTTGATGAAGCAATAAGTTTTTTTGTTATTGTGGTTAACCCTTACACTCATGCGATCATGCTTTCTGGTCAGAAGAATGTCCATTCAGCTCATGAAGAAAGGGCATGGTGCTTACAATGCTAGCACATAGATTAAAGATATAGTGAGACAAATATCAATCTCTCACATGAGACTTTAAAATAACTTATTTAGAAAACTGTGATTCATTCAAATCACTGAGCAGGATAAATAGCCTGTGGGGAAAACTTTAACTTATTATGATGTGATCTAGCAAATGCTCCACCACCTTTACTCACAATATCCAAGGAGTCTGGACACCTTCCAAAATATCTGTCCCTATACATATTTCAAACAATAGTTCTAAAAAACTAGTTTTCCTTACCTTTTTTTAAGATAACCTTTTCAATTGTTTTTATTATTTTCCACCAATATTTCAGACCAGCACAGTATATAAAATATTAAGAAATCCATGTCAAAACTAGTTTTCTTCCATTTTCTGAATTGAGGCATGATCTATATACATCTATATCAGTAACAGTGATTCTATAGCTTGTTTGTTTCTATGCAGGCATGTACATTTTCACTTAAAAGCAAGAGTATCACAAACATTTTCTTTTGTTTTTTAAACATCAGCATAAACTATAACCCTATACTTCTTCTAATCCTGTTTGTCTGTCTGACACTTCAGTTTTAAATGACTGCTTTGCTCTTCTGATATACCTGGTTATAGTCATCTTTCACTGTCATTCTTCAGCCTGGTGGGCAACTGCAGCTGAATTAATTACTGCAAAGCGTGCTAACTGAACAGCAATAATGTTCTTTGAGGTGTGTATTATACTAGATTTCCAGATGGTTGGGTTTTTTAATAAACTCAACTTCACCTTGTATATCAGTTTTCTCAATTGTCTAGAAATCAGGTTTGTAAGTGTAGTGCTCTCCATCTCTCTCTCACAAACACACACACATGCACACAATTTGTCTGGCCTGTAGGACAATCCCAATATACATCAAACATAAGGTAAAAAATAGTTGCACATATAGTAATTTTAATTCATTCCATTTTTAAATAACACAATAAATTTAATTTTCACAATAAATTAAATAGCCATATTCAGTTTACAAAATAGAATTACTTAGTGTGAAACCAGTATTTACAAACAATATACACTATATACATGATGTTTCTCTTTGTTGACACACAAGTATAGAAGAAAAAAGTATTTGACTTTTTTGGACACATGATTGACATGCTACAAGTGACACTGTGGTCCATACAATAAAACAATAGTGCAAACTCACCACGGGAACTCTGAAACAATGTTGTTTGCATGAGATAAGATATTCCTTTCAAATAATAAGAAAATAGTATTATCCAGTTTCATTGTAACAATTCAGCATTTTATTTAAAGTGTCAGCATTCCTTTCGCATTGTGCATCCCTCCTGTGGCCTGAATATGGCACCTTCTGATATATCCTCACAACTTCTAAGAATCTCACGTGAATTTGTATGCTTTAAACTGACACACTGCCTGGGTTGATCAGTGTGTCACATAATCAACTATATCGAGCAAGAGGAACACTGACCCTTTTAGTCGCATGTGAATTTATTCCCCCCAGTACTCGCTTTCCCTTTACCTGTATAGCTTAAAATGATGCAACTCTGTAGAGAGTAGATTTACATTAGTTACTACTCTGTAGAAAAACTGATCCCACCTTATATTTGGTCACACACTGCATATGTACAAGTATGCATGAAAAAAGTTACTTGGATAGCTATGTCTATGAAAAGTGCATATTTTTTTATTCTAGGAGAGACATCATTGCCTGTCTCCGGGTGCAACACATAGTGTTGTATGAAATTTAGTTCAGGGCCAGTTAAATGTCCTCCCAGTGATCTGGTAAAATTTTTGATTAAAAGGATGAAAGAACTTGCGCAATTTGGTAATGACAGAGGGATCCACCTCTGGATGTATGCGTCCCTTGCTACCCGCCAGGCACTTGTTAAAGACAATGTTAAATCGCAAGCAGTAAAACCCTCTGGTGGCATTGAAGTATAAATTGTATTGACTTATCCTTGGAGGAAGATTTAGGAACTTCTCCACCAGCTGGAGTTCTGGCAGTGGTTCTGTAATGAGCCGATCTCCGTCTACAATATGAAACTGCTCGATAGGAAAGTATTTTAACCATCTCTCCAGATGTTTTGTGTAGATGCTGGTTCTTACTGCCTTATACTTAGTGTTCACTTCACAGGTAGTAGGATCAATAGCCAGCTTCTCAAATTTGTAGTAGGTTTTATTCTTCCTTTCCTTCCCTTCCAGCACCTGAGTGTAATCAGAAATAGCTCTTGTTGTAGGTTCCCTGACAATGATCAGTAATTTGATGGATGAGTTCATTTTATAAATCCTTTCAGGTACCTCTTCTGTGATAAAATATGCAGGGCTTTTCTCAATTGTTATTTGATGAGGGTAAGAAAAAGGCATTTTTTTCCTGTACCACTCAATCCCCTTGGCATAGTTTTCATCATTGTCAAAGAAGTGAATTTCTTGAGAAGCTTTGACAACTGCAGGATGGAGGTTCAGCATCTCAAGCAGTGCTCGGGTACCTCCTTTCCTCACCCCAATTATAATGGCCTTGGGAAGCTGCTGCACCAAATTGTGAAGGCGTATTTGCTCCTTCGTGGCATTGCCTTTACGGAACTCGTGCAGCAGCCCACGCTTGAACTGCAGCGCTCGGAGTGGGATTTCATCTTGGCCATGGGGTCCAAATCGACCATCAATGGGACATATGGGTTGCAGTCTGCAATCAAGAAAAGAGATATAAATTAATTCTGTTGCAAACCATTATGAACATGTGTTTTTAGTTTGATTTTAATCTGCTACTTATAAATGGGGCAGATTCAATCAGTGATGCTTTTAATATTCTTTGAAATTCTAATTCATCAAGTATTAATTGACAGCAATCCACTCACAGCACAGACGAACAAGTGGCTTGGAGCCTTCTTCACAACTAGATGTTTGACACAGTCTGGGTAGTGTGGGTTTTTTTTAAAGTAGCTCATTTTGAAATGGAAAACTGATTCCAGAATCTTGGTGCCTAGGATTATTTTTGGAGGCTGTGTCTTGTAGTCTGATGTATTTCTGATTTCATAATGCTATTATAAATATAAATATAATTTAATGATAGGATAATTATCAGGCATCTGTACTTCTGTACTCTGTACAAGCTCTGAAAACACTTTTAATACATTGCACAAACTTACATAGCATGAAAAAACAAATACTTTTCTTTTTTTAGATTCATATTTAAATCTGATATCTACGGACAAATGGAGGAAATCCACAGAAAATCCTAATTCTAGCCCTAAAATTAGGAAATGGTAGAACACATATTGCCCATGCAACGTTAATCTAGCCCCTTGTGTGTATACATGGGGATACAGTCTTCAGTTTCTCCTTCATAGTGCCCCTGCCTCATTCAGTGCATGGTTTGGACAGTGCTCCCTTAATGACCAACTAGTCTACATTTAATTTTATTCTCACTACCCAATGGGTGGCTCCATAACTTGTCTACTGCACACATTCAAACCCTGATTCGAGGAGCAAATCATTCATTTCCTCATGGGACTCTCTAAAATTCTGGTTACCAAGGTATTTGAGTGCTGTACAAACATAAATGAATCAGTCTTCAAAGCACATCTATAAGGACAAGTGGTGCTAGCATCCCCATTTCATGGACTAGTAAACAAGATGCCTACCTGGCTGGACTCGTTTGAGTCCCGTTTCTCT